TTTTGGGGTCTTCATTGCCAACCAGGCTTCACCTTCACAGCTTCACACAATGGCCTATCAGGGCCTTCTCTATGCAGGGGAACCCCTGCTGCATGCTACCTGGCCTCTGAGGGACTCTCAAACCATGGAGGAAGAACTGGTGACCCCTTCACTCTTGCATCTTTCATGTCTCTAAAGCCAGCACCAGGTGAATGGCACTGTCAAGTTTGACTGCAAGTTTGGGATGGACTCCAGCCTGCTTTTTCCATTTTAGAAGCTTTCTCTGTAGCATTTTCCTTTCACAAGTTGGAGGCTTAACTGGGTGTGGTCTTGCCCTGATGGCACTCTCTCCATTGTTTAAGTTTGAATCTCTAGGCCCCTCTTTAATCACTTTAATCTCCTTATCAAAGGGATCCTTTCCAGCACATTTATCTTCCTAGTGCTCTTTTTCAATCCAAACTGTATTTCTTTCTGCCCCATTTTCTCTCTTTCATTGTAGATCTGCACAATAGTCACCATTAATAGCCACACCACCATTTCTACATTAGGCTGTATTGAAATTTCTTCCACCAGAGAAATTAATACATTGCTTTTCAACTTAGCCTCAGAGGCAAGCTTTTTGGTCAGGGGCATACTCCAGCTAGACTCTTTGCCAAAATATCCCATTCCCTCTGGAACTGCATTGTTCTCAGCACTACTTTCTACCAGGTGCCTACTAGAATGGCCTGTTAAGCTCCGATTACAGTAGTCAACCACTTTTCTAGCCCAACCTTCCAAAGTCTTGCATATTTCTTCAAAATTCCACATGGTCAGGTTCTTCACAGCCAACAGCCACTGTCTGGTACCAATTACTGTATTAGTAACTTTTCTGTTCCTGTGATAGAAACACTGACCAAACCAATTTATAAAAGGAAGAGTTTATTTGAACTTATGGTTCAAGGGGAATTACAGTCCATCTTGGCAGGGAGGCATGGCAGCAGAGGTGGCTGGAGGAGGAGCAGTGGAAGCTAAGCTCTACATCTTCCAGCAGGCACAGGAAACAAGAGAGTGGAGATCCAGCAAGGCTTAAGAACTCTCTAAGCCTGCCCCCAGTGATGTGCTTCCTTTAGGGTAGCCACACCTTCTAAGACCTCCCAAAACAGCGCCATCATCTGGGGACAAAATGTCCAAATACTTGGAGCCTATGGGGGACATTTTCATTCAAACCACCACACTCTGGAACTGGAGTTTCAGGTGGTTATGAGCCACCTGATGGGTGCTGGGAATCAAACCTAGGTTCTCTGCAAGAAGAGTCAGTGGTCTTAACCTCTGAGCCATCTCTTCAGCCCCCCTCCATATATTTTCACAGCTGGGTTGCTCATGTCTTTTCTAGTACTGAATACCATTCCATTGTCTAGATGTAAATTGCAGTTTATTCATTCACCATATGGAAGGTCATCTTGGCTGCTTCCATTATGAATAAAGCTATGAAGCCCTTTCTATGGTGTTTGGGTTCTGTTTGATTTGTTTTGTTGGTTTGTGTGTGGGGGGGTGAGTGGTTACTGGGGAATCAGAACCTGCCTTTTAAGGCTAGGCAAGTACTCTATCCCTTAGGCATTCCCCCAGCCCAATGCTGCTATTTTTGTGTGAAACAATTTTTCAATTCATTTGAGTTAAATGGTAATATTATATTTAGTTTTGCAAGAAGCTATTGATTATTCCAAATAGACTATCATTTTGCATTTCCACTAGCAATGAAAACAAGCTTCTTTTTTCATGTCCTTGCCAACATTTTCTGGTATCAGTGTTCTGGATTTTGGCCAGTCTAATAGGCATGTGATATGTCATTGTTGTTTTATTTGCACTTACCTAATGACAAACATCTTTAATTTTTTTAAAAAGTTATTTGTATTATTTGTGTGTGTCCTTCTGTGAGTGTCCGGGCATGTGTGTGCAGACACTTGCAGAGGCCAGAAGAGAACATTGATCCCTTGGACCTGGAGCTGTAGGCATTTTCGAGCAGCTGGTGTGCATGCTGGGATCCAAACTCCAGTCCTCATGATAAAGATTCAGGCACTCTTAATGACTAAGCCATTCCTCCAGCCCCAAGAAACATGCTGTTATGTATTTATTTGCCATCTGTGTAGTTTGCCCATTTTCAAATAAGGTTGCTTATCTCACTGTTGAGTTTTAAGTGTTCTCTCTATACTTTGAGTAACAGTCCTTTAGGACATATTTCTTTTGCAAATATTTTCTCTGTCAGTAGCTTGTCCTGTCATTCTTCTGACAGTTTTTCACAGAGCAAATTTTTAAATTTTTTTATTACATTTTTGTGTTGTTCTTTGACTTTTCTGTTTATATGCTTGTTTCCTTAGTTTTCTGAGACAGTATACATACTTTAAACTGAACTCAAAGTGGTGGCAGTTCTCCTGCCTCTGATCCATGAGTGCTGGGATTACAGGAATGTGCCTCCACACCAGCATTTTTAAATGTTAAAAGTTCAGCTTTTCAGTTTTTATTTCAGCTTCTTTATTCTGTGGACTGCCCCTTTGTTGTATCTAAAGTGTTCCCACCACACCAAGGGCCGTTGGGTATTCTCTGTCCTCTAGGATTTTGTAGCTTATCATTGTACATTTAGGTCTGTGAGCAATTTTTATTTCATTTTATGAATCATGCACAGTCTGTGTCTAGATTCAGTTGTTGCATCTGAACGTCTAGTCTCAGCAGTATTTGTTGAAAAGACTGTCCTTGCTCCACTACATTAAAGATCAGTTGATTTTATTATGAGAGTTTGTTTCTGTGCTCTTTCATCCATCTTCTTAGGAAAGACATGGCAGCAAGAGCTTGAAATGGCTGGTTACGTCACATCTGCAATCAGGAAGCACAGAGAGATGAATGCCATTGCTTGCTTTCCCCCTTATTAAGTTCAGGATCCCAGCCCATGGAGTAATGCCACCAACAGTTAACATGGGCTTCCCCACCTCAGTTAACATAATTTAGAAACTCCCTCACAGGCATACCCAGAGACTTATCCCTTAGGTGATTCTAGACCCTGTCAAGTTGACAATCTATATTGACTATCCTTCTATGCTGTTTCTGTGGGTCAGATAACATTAGACTACAGGTAGCTCCAATGTTATAACAAATTGTCTCTGGCTTCTCTAGCCCTTGTATCACTGTTGTCATTCATTTCATTTATACATATGTTATAATAGTGTATTAGTTACTTCTCTGTTGCTGTGATAAAAATGCCATGACCAAGGCAGCTTATAGAAGGAAGGAATTTATTTGACTTACAGTTCCAGAGGGATAAGAATCTATCATGACAGGGGAGGCATGGCAGGAGGCAGCTGGAGCAGAAAGGA